ATACCAGTACGACTACAAATTGTTCATATTTTTCTGTTACATATAGAACTGTTCATTTTTTAAATATGGCTGAACAAAATTCATTCACCTAAGAAATTTGATATATCAGTGAAAAAAAAAAAAAGCTAAAAAAAGGTAGATATTTGAATAATCAGAAAAAATTCTTGAATACAATTTATTGTTTTACCGAAAAAAAAAAAAGTGATTATACTATTCTTTTACAAATTTTATTTTTAATTTAGTATTCAGCAGTCATATCCAATAAATTGATGGTCACTTATTTTCATTCAAAATGATACAAAAGAATAGCAAAATGATTTAGAAAATAAACTTATAATGACTAACAAATATGCTTACACAATAATTTAAAGAAAAAGAACAAAATAAAATTTAACAAATTCAAAGTAATTTACTATCTCAGTTACTACTGAGAATTACATTTGATAGAAGAAACAATTTATACAAATAAAAAACAAAAGGTTGTTTGGGATAGACGATCATTTTTTGTTGCATTTCTTTTTCTATTCTTATTTTTACTTCTTAACATTCTGTAAAGATGAGTTAAAGGAAGAAAAAACCGCATTTTTTTTTTTTTCGTTGGTTGATAATATCGAATTGATTAGGTAAAATTTATTGACATCAAAAAAAAGAAGCTATTTCATTTTTAAATTTAAAAAATCTTCTAAAATTACTGGGGAGAACAAAAGGGAGAAATTAGAAAGTTTTCATCTTTTACCTAAAGATCTGCAATTTTGTTGTCCTGTTAAATTTTGTATCAATGGGGCCTGCTGAAACTATTTATCTTTACATTCTGGAAGTATTATCAGTTTCCTAAGCACTGATACAGCACAGACAAATTTTCTGATATTCAACTTCATTTTTCCACTATTTCTACTCAATACTTTTTGCAACATTTGATCAATATGTTTCCTAATTAACACTATAGTGACCTGTAAATGCGTCTGTAAAATAGTAGTAAACACATTGAACATCGAGAAAAAAGTAAAACAATTCAATAAACAAATAATTATGCAAAACATGAAAATACAGTCATTTTTCACTCCTATTATTATAACGGTAAAGTAATGCAGCATACTCACGTAAAACTTTATAACATTAGTTTTGTAAGGGAAGCAATAATGAACGGTAGGTATCAGTGTATAAATTTCAAGCCGACAAGTAATTTAAGTCACTTCAATAGAACAATAATAATAAATGGTAATCGATTAGTCAATGAGGGTAGTTTTTTTGGAAAGAAGAGAACACATTGAAGACTTCCAACGACGCCAATGGACTTCAGATTGGATATTACACAGTATAAATGTTAAGGATTTCAGAACAGGATCAAAAAATGGTTTAAAATCAAGCCAGAAAAACCAAAACGAATCGTTGCTTTGCTTGATACACCAGGCTTCCACGTGTCGGTTCGATAAGCTTTTAAAGAAGACTTATAGTACACTTATGGGTCGACAATATGCACAGATTTTCAAGGAGAAGTAGAATTGGAAACGATAAGCCACTTTGATAAGCAATGAACACGAATTCTTAAAATAAAAGCATTATGTCAAAATGGTTTTAAAACGCAGTGATACAGATTCTGTAAATGCTTCAGCTGAATTGGTTTGCTTATCCGTAAACAATGTCGAGGCTTCAACACTTTCAACTTTCAAATGGCAGTTAAACTGCCGAACAGGCAAACAATGTTTATATTGAAACCGATGAGAGCCGATAACCACACTATTACATAAACAAAGGTTAAAACGTCAAAGAGAATTTTTTTTTTAGGAGTGCTGAATTACTGCATGAAATTCTTTCTTCTGTGTTCCCTCATATTTTTATGAGCCCTTCAAAAAAACTTCACCTGCTTCCTCCGTCCTTCCCTCTCCTTTCCACCCTGCCCTCCTCCCCTCTCTCCAAGAAAAAAAAAAAAAATAGCATTCCCATACGATCATCTCTTTAGATGTCAGATTAAGGTAGTCCAATACTTTGAAAGGAACAATAGTAAGTGTTAAGGGGTCAATAGGGAGCGGAAAATAATCTGGTTGTATATTATTATTTTAATCACATTTTTATCCTTCTACTGCTCTAAGTGAGAACAGAACAAACTGTGGCTCTGTTAGGACTTACAAAAACCCCTGTAATAATAACAGATTTCCTAATTAACCAATGAATTTCCCTAATTATTCAGTTCCATCCTCGGTTTCCCTCGTCTTTCTTCTTTTTTCTTGAATGGACAAAACAACCAACCCGATAGGATTTTTTTCAGATATAGTTGCAGAAGAAGTATTGAGCTGCAATGTTGGGAACTTTAAATTTGGCGAATATTCAATAGAAAATTAAAGAAAATTTGAGGGTTTGTGGAGGTATTGCCGATGATTTCCATTGTTTCATGTCCACCGATGGTTACATGGGATTTTCTGTGTCATGTTTTGTTATTTGAAAAACGTTTCTAACTATTTCCAATTCTTTGGCGATTAAGTTATCGGTTGTTTGGCTTACAAAAACTTCGTTGTGAAGCATTTGTTA